TTTTTTTTTTTTTTTTTTGGTCCCAGGGATTAAATGTGGATCCTTGCCCTTGCCAGGCAGGCAGTGGAACCACTAAGCTAAATCCCCTGCCCTATTATTTTGTTTTTATAACTTTAAAAATGTATAATTGAATTAAATCTACCTCAACTTAATCTTGCCACTTTTAAGCCTTACAACCTTTGAAATAGGTGCTATTATTTCCTCCATACAGTTAGATATTACCCATTGCCATAAAAGAAAAAAATATCATACAAGTCAATAGCTGTATTACTAAGGCCATGTATTAAATCTTGAACACATTATATTTTACATATTCCAACCGAAAAGTTATAATGTACTCCTCTATCACGTTGATTATTTATTTATTTTTAATTTTTTGTGATACCAGGGATCGAACTCGGGTCCTTATACTTACAAGGCAGGCCACCGAACCACTGTGCTAAATCCCTAACCCTTGCATTGATTATTTAAATTAAAGGTACTTAGCCAGGCGTGGTGGCGCACACCTGTAATCCCAGCACTTGGGAGGCTGAGGCAGGAGGATTGCTGTGAGTTTGAGACCAGCCTGGGCTACAAAGTGAGTTCCAGGTCAGTCTCAACTACATAGTGAGACCCTGTCTCAAAAAACCAAAATAAATAAATAAATAAAGGTACTTGAAGCCAGGCTGAGGTAGGTTCTGTAGAAAGATTGCAAGTTCAAGGCCTGCCTATGCAACTTAGTGAGGCCCTTTTTCAAAATAAAAATGTTTTGCCAGGGATTTAGCTCAGTAGTTCTGCCACCTGCCTTGCAAACACAAGGACCCTCGTTCAATCCCTGGTACCAAAAACAAACAAACAAACAATCAAAATAAAAATGTTTTAAAATGAGGGCAGGGGTGGTGGAGCTTGCCTGGAGAAGTAGCTCAGCACTCTCTCAGGTTCAATCCCTAGTACTAAAAAATAAAAGACTTGAAAAATAGGGCAAGAATATGACTTTGACCTTCGTGCTATTTCTGATTAAATTCCCACGTGAAAGATGCCCTGTCCGTACTAGGAAGCTGCAACATCCTTATCATTAAAGAGAATGAAATTGAGATACCAAGAGTTCTGCACAAACAAGCCTTGTTAAACTGGTGCTTATCTTCCTAACTACTACTCTACCAGGTGAACTACCCGAGCCTGAGCCCCTCTGCCTTATCAAATTTTCACAGCTGACTACAATCCAGTATATAAGTAACTGACAATAACAGCTTCTTTGGGTCTTAATTTATTTGAGGGCTCCCGTGCCACACAAAGTTTCTATTACATTTTTTCTTCTATGCCACATTCATTTAACTTTCAGAACTGGCTGAAAGTGTTGAAGTTTTTCTGCCCTACCATTTCTAGAATAAGCATGGGATCCTAAAAGGCTGAGACAGCCCCACTTGCTCTGGAACCTGCAGATGGACTCCTAGGAGACCTAGCAAAAGCTGGCAGAGGTAGGAATTCCTGAAAAAGACAGCTCTATCAGATCCTTCTCTATAATGCCCAGCTGAGAAAGAGGAAAGTTAAAAAAAAATTCTCTCTTCCTTTTTGAATTTAGACTGGCAGGAGAAAAACATTTCTAAGAATCAGTTCTTTAAAAAAAAAACAAGTCCCTGGATTGTGACTCTTGTGAATTGGTTCTGATAACTGTTGGTTAGTGATTCACAGCCTTGCAGAATAGCCCTTGTTTTCTTGTATGGGAATAATCAAAATATACAGTGAATGTTTAAATTTTTAAAATTTAGCTGGGAATTTAGCTCAGTGGTTCTGTTGCCTGTCTTGCAAATGCAAGTCCTGAGTTCAATCCCCAGTACCATACAATAAAATAAAATTTCTTACAATAAAAGACATGTTGCCAGGGATTTAGCTCAGTGGTTCTGGCACCTGCCTCGCAAGCACAAGGTCCTGAGTTTGATCCCTGGTACAAAAAAAAAAAAAAAAAGACATGTCGCCGTTAATATCTCTTAAATACTGTCTCTTGTTTCAAACACATCTACCCCACTGTTCTTTCCACTCCAGAACAGTTCTGAAGTCCTCTTTCATGAGTGTCTTTACAAGGCGCTATTAAAAAAATATATGGCAAAGGCTATTGTCAAGTGCCATCCAACAGAAAGGCAGGTTCATAAAAACAGTACGATGTGTCCTCATCCACTTGATTCACAGGCTCGGGCAGCACATGATTTCTGTACCTTCCCCAAAGCCAAAATGATAATGCAAGGTAAATGTTCTGAATCATTTCAGGACACTGAGTTGGCCATAAGTCTGCAGCTACAGGCACTCACCAAGAGGACTTCCAAAAGTGCTTCAGAAAGTGGCAAGAACACTGGGAAGAGTGGTTCAAAGCAAGGGGGATGCTTTTGAGAGGGATGAATGGCAATCTGTCTTTTACTGTAATAATTTTAGAAATTTAAATACACCATATTTTTTGATCACACCTTGTATCTGTCGTATGCATGGTTTGTCATAGGAGGGAAATTATAAGATGCTTCTTTCATCTTGTTTTATATCTTGAGAATATGGCTTTGTGACCAGAGAGAATATTCTATGATCTCCACCGGATAAAGGCAGTAGCAGCTGGGTTGTGGCAGGCAGTTTGCCAGCTTACCAGGAATCCAGAACACTTTCTCTTTGTCCTGTGGTGCCAGTTCACAGGGGAGTTTGTCTTAATTGTCTCAAGCTTCCCTGCCTTGTTAACAATGAGGATCTTTGCTTTCTTGGGCTATCCTTTGGAGAAACGTTGGGGTGTTGCTGTTGTACGTTTGCTTTTTGTTCTTGTTTTTGGATTTTTTTTTTTTTTGAGACAGTCTTGCTATGTATTCCAGGCTGGCCTTACTATATAGCCCAAGCTTGCCTCAAACTTGAAGTGATCCTCCTGCCTCAGCCTCC